CAATATCAATAGATATTGCAGGTTGCTAATCTTAGAAAATTTGACAATTTAAAGGTTAGTACACCATAATAATCACACTATTGAAGGTAATATTACAAAATGAAAAATGGATAACTATTTTGCAGAAATATAAATATAATATTCATCCATTGTCATACTGTTCGACAACCACTAAAATAAACATAATCTCAGAAAAGTAGTGTCTCTAAACCAAACAACATTAGTCTTCAACCATAACTAAAAAAGTTTTCAAACATAAATAAGCTTAAATTAGAATCATAAACTATTGCTCGCACCCCCATAATCATCATAGTCTTCAATCCTCTTTGTTGAGAAATGACTCTATCATTTCCTTCTGACCATCCGAAGATATGCCTATAAAAAGTCTAGATTCATGCTCATTCATAAATAGGTGACGGTAGTATGAATCTAACTTGGCAACACTAAAGTCATGTGAATGAGCATATAGGATCGTGGATACCTTCTCTGTCCAATGCATATTTGCACACTTTATGTTTGTGCTAAATACATCTATCTTATCCACCATCTTTAGCATGATCTCACTATCTAGGTTGATCTTACGAGCCTTTACCTTGGCGGAGGATGACTTAGCTTTAGAACTTGATGTTTTGGGTGCTTCCTTAGGCGGAGGAGTGTCCTCGTCATCTGGAGGATGACTTAGCTTTAGAACTTGATGTTTTGGGTGCTTCCTTAGGCGGAGGAGTGTCCTCGTCATCTAAAATGTGTACTTGAGTAGATTGGTGATGTTTTGGGTGCTTCCTTAGGCGGAGGAGTGTCCTCGTCATCTAAAATGTGTACTTGAGTAGATTGGCGAGAATGCATTGGTGAGTTCGCCTCATCTCCAAGATTTATGTTCTCACTATAGCTAAACTTTTTCCGAGCATCATTAGCAAATTGACTTGTAGCTTGATCATCACCGATGATAAGGGCGAGATCATCATCATGCCTCAATGGTTTATTGACATATTGTCTAAGCTTAGCATTCTTAAAGCTCTTATCCTGAAAAAGTATAATTTAATTAATTAGAAAAATTGCTTTAAAATGGAAAATAAATCTATTCTTTAACTAGACTTTATTTACCTCAATCTACCTATCCAAACATTCAGGATCCATAATGACAGTCTTCGTACTATCATCCCATCCAGCACCACTAAGATTACGATAAGTTTTTATATCACGAAATCTTGTTCGTGGAGTTTTGATGTGATGCATGATATTATCCCACTTAAAAACTGTGTTGAACTTCTCATTAATGTGTTGAGAAGCCATACGAAAAGCGGTTCTCTTAAAGCTTTTGTTGGGTTTGTAACCCTTTCTTACCAAGTCGGTAAGAAATGGAATGAGCTCATCATCATAACGGGAATCCCAGAACAAATGTTTGTTCCCTTGAGGACTACCTACTTCACCATTTTTCTTGGATGTGGTGTTTTTCCTCTTCTTCTTTGGATTTGGCGATGTTTCTACCCCTTCTTCTACGAGGTCCCGTTTGGAACCTTATTCGGGAGTTGATCCATTACCACTAGTGTGCGAAAGTTGCACCCCACTCAGATTAGGACTGTGAAATTGTGGAGGCAAAGTGGGTGAATTGAGCATGTTCGAATATGGCCTCATATTATGGTGCATTGGAAAGTAGCTGCTATCATGGAATGGCATGTTCGGGTATGCTTGAGGTGGTTGTACAATGTATGACTGCTAAAATAAAAAATACCCATCGCCGTGATGCACAGACTGAGGGGTTTAAGGTGGTGGGGAAGGTGAAGGAACGACCCCCTTGCCTTTTTGATTATCTCTCCCACTCAATGAAGTATTATCAGCCATTACTAATTAAATAGAAAAAGTTAGATGAAAGAAGTAAAACATGAATAAAAGCATAACGACATTAATGGAAATAGAGTTATTGAATACATATATGAGCATAAATAGAACAAAAATAAAAATCAAGCCTCTGTGGTTACACCATGATTATACATATCACAGTAGTCTACCCACATCACCCAAGCAATGTCATCCCTAAGAGTCTTCCACTCATTTCTTGATTCAGTTTGCTCTCTTTGGGTTTGATTTTGAGTAAAATCAACTAAATTAGTGTCATTCTCGAAAGCTACTTCACCATCAATGTCTTCATTAAGTTCATCATCGTTGAGTAGTTCATCACTTGGATCCACAGTTGCAATAAAATTATGGAGTACCGTGCATGCCAATACGATATCTACTTGTATAGAAAAAAGATAATGCGACTTAGCACACAAAATCTTGAAACGATTCTTCAATGTGCCAAATGCAGATTCAATCTTAGACCTCAATGAAGAATGTCTTAGATTGAATAATTCTCTTCTATTCTTAGGTGTTTTACCCGAATGTTCTTTCAAATGATATCGAACACCTCGGTATGGAGAGATAAAACCTGGCATGGTTGGGTACCCAGCATCACATAGATAGTACTTACCTATAATTTTATTAAGAAAATTGTTAAGTCAAGTTTGAATATTAAAAGCCATAAATTTTAAGTTAAGTCTATATTTAATTACCATCATAGACTATCAATCCATGTGGTTGTGGTCTAGACAATGCGTCCTGAAGAATCCTATAATCAATTGCAGACCCCTCCCAACCTGCTAGAACATATGTGAATAGCTTGTTTGGGGTGTAAGCTGCAAGCACATTCTGTGTAACACCTTTGCGGCCTCGAAATCATGCAACAAGATTAATCGAAAGCATATAGCATCTACATGTGTCACATCTATCATTCCAATGCAATCCTATAATACGTGTATAACACATCTAAATTAAAATTTACTTACATTGATTATACATTTAAATGTGCTTAAAGTGTAGATATACCTTGAAATAAGGGTAGTATAGCGGGTTGTTAATGATCTCTTCAGGAATGTCATTGGAGGCTTGTCTCATGTACCGTCCACGCAGGCAAATAATTGCTTGTAATACCTTGTTGAAATATCTACTCACTATCTCCCTTGATCTTATAAAATGAGATCTAACTATGCGATTTTTAGATTTATGACCCAGAATATTCAGAGTCATTATAAGTTATTCTTCCACTGTTATATTCCTTGAGTCTTTTAGCAGGATATTGTTCCTCATTATACTCGCTAGTTTAACAAAAGCATCACTTCTCATTCTAATATAATTCACGTAACTATCACTAAAACCATTATAAATTCTCTCTACGTGCTCAATTCTAGCTATCTCTTGTCTTCTTTTTTCCTTACTTGGACTACTACGAATTGATTTACGCCTTGCTTGCATTCTTCTTACGACAGTAACTATTATAATTAGAACGGATAGGGCAGCACCTTGAACCATATTTACAATACTTTGTTCATTGGAACAATCACCATTATTATCCATCTATGATGCAAAAAATCATTATCCAGTTAGAAACTAAGTCGAATTGTGTCAAAATCTGAACAAATTACAATTTACAATTTACAATTTACTAACATGGATTACTACAATATCAAACCAAAAAATATTACAGTGAGATAAATAGCATTAATAAATAACAAAGATATGAACTTTAGCTCCTAAAATGAGAAAAATTACATTAACAACACGCAACCAATTAACATTTTCATACTATCTAATAATGAGATAATTAAAAATACCAAAAATTGATCTTAGAAAATAGGAAATCATGGGGGGATTCTCACTGCTATAGTCACAAGCTCCTCATCACAAATTATAATTTTTTTCTCACCTCCAGATATTTATTAGTAATTAAATCTTATATGTCTCACCTAAAAAAATAAATCTGTAATACATTCCCAATAATAATGCTAAAACAACAAAAAATAGTTCTAAAATCTAAGAAATTATATGAAATTTCATAATTTTCTTATCTGTGAAATCTCAAAAAAATTGGAAAATCACTAAAATTGATTCGAAAATCAAAAAATTTGCGTAGATATATGAAATTTCATAATTTTCTTATCTGTGAAATCTCAAAAAAATTGGAAAATCACTAAAATTGATTCGAAAATCAAAAAATTTGCGTAGATCAGACCCCTCCCCCCTCCCACAAATTTTCTCCATGAATGGGTATTCGAAGTTTTCTAATCATATTTTCTTATCTGTGAAATCTCAAAAAATAGGAAAATCACCAAAATTTATTTGAAAATCAAAAAATTTGAGTAGATCTGACCCCCGCCTCCCACAAATTTTCTCCATGAATGGGTATTCGAAGTTTTCTAATCATATTTTCTTATCTGTGAAATGTCAAAAAATAGAAAAATCAGAAAATTGATTCGAAAATCCAAAAAATTGTGTAGAGCAGACCCCCCCCTCCCCCACAAATTCTGAGATCATTGTTGTAAATTAAACTAATAATAAGAAAATTAAAAAAAAAATCAATTTTTACCTTCATTTATGAAGCAACAGTGTCGGTAAAGATCAGATCTGATTATTGTCGTCAATGATCAGATCCGAATACAGGGACAAAGTGGGTCGCGGGAGTTTCTGGCGGGAGGAGAGGGCGGATTTTGGCGGGAGGGGAGCGCGGAGGTAAGTATAGCTCGTCGAAGAAATCAACGAGGAAACCAAACAGCCGACGTGGCTGCAGTTTCCGTTGATTTCACGAGGTTGATGAAGGAATTGTGGGAGAGGAGGAAATCTGATGTGGCGACGATTTTTCTTCAGTTTGCTTGTGAAACCCTAGCGAACCAAAGTTGGGAAAATAAACTGATGGAAACGTTTTATCCAATGTAGCCACGAAAGTTCTTACGTGTAGACGGTGAAAAAGGTTTCCACAGAGATAAAAAACAAACCAAACAGACCCTAAAGAAAAAGAGGAAAAGGAATATAAGGTTTAATAAAACGGCTTTTCTAGTTTCCGTAAATGGGCATTGGATAACACAACCCAACCCAGCCCAACCCGCTTTCAACTTCCTACACGTGCGTTGCACGTGCAGACAAATCACCCCTTATAAAACAAAGGATGAGGGTCGCGAAACTGCCGCCGCCATTAGACCAAACCTTCTTGTTTCTTCGAAATTAGGGTTTCCTCGAAATTAGGGTTTCCTTTTTACCCCCAAATTCTGTTGTTCTATTTTTCAAGGTTCTCTCTTTGAGAAATCGATCATGGCGATGGAGTGCTTAACCCAGAATCTCATAGATCATCGCCCCAGGAAAAGGCCGAGATGGGATGTCCAGCCTCAGGTAATTTTTTTTTCGTTGTTTTTGTCAAAAGATATGTTCTTTTCGTTTTCTCATCTTTTTTTAAAAAAAACTTATGGCTTCTCTTTGTGGATGTTAATAGTCCTTGATGATTCATGAATCAGATCTGGTAAGAATTCATTAGTTTCTTCTAATTTGGGTTTGGAATTATTTCATGTTTCGGGACGAAGAATTTGTTATTAGGGTTTGACGTGATCTGGTGTATTTTGATCACGAAATTGATTTGTCTAATTGATTGTCAAGAAACGATTTTGATTCATCTTATATGTAACCAAAACCACATATATTTACTTTTTCTATATTAATAATTAATAGCTATGCAGATAATTGTTTTATGGAATTGTTTTATGAAAGCCCTGAGATTTGATCCTCTTTTGACTTACTATTGAGAACCTCGAGATTGATTCAGTTGAACTAGGAAATTTTTTATATTGCTAAGTTGAACTAAGAAATTTTTTATATTGCTAAGTTGCTTTTTCATTAAGGCTGATGTGGGTGAAGCTCGCTATCTTTACTGAGTGGACAAAATAAATAAATGGATGGTTCTGTGTAGGCTCAGATAGGAATGTTCTGTGGGCAAGAAGTTGGACTTGGAGATTTGACAAGCTTGGTATCATCGATGGCACCTTCAGATTATACTTGTTCTTCTTCCTCTTTGTATGCAAACAAAGTGGCTCGTATTGCTTCTCCTCCTCGTAGGGAGGATGACAAAGATGGTCATTACGTGTTTGGGATTGGAGAAAATTTAACTTCTCGCTGTAATTACACTCATCACTGACGTTTTAAATTTTTGTTTTGTATTGTATTGTTATTTGTTAGATTATGTCGTCCTGAGTTTGATGTTTGTGTGTGCATGATATATACACACCCACACACACATACACACACATAAATACACATACACATACACACATACATACACACATACATATGTATATATATGTGTGTGTGTGTGTGTGTAGAAATAAATAAATATGTGTGTGTGGGCGCGCATTTATTTGTATGTATATGTATGTATGTATGTATAGACTTATATGTAGTAGTTAAAGATCAACTACTTAATTGTTACTATTCTTGGTTATTGGATCTGCTACGTATTATGAAAAATCATTTTGTAGGTTTATGCATGTAAGAAATTTAGCATATTCTTGTAAAGAAAGAAATGGAAACCTTTTTTATGTAAAAGGTGTTTTCTACATCGTTTATTTTTAACAGATATATTTTCTGACACAAATTCTCAGATCATTGTTGTAAATTAAACTAATAATAAAAAAATTAAAAAAAAACCAATTTTTACCTTGATTTATGAACCAACAGCGTCGGCAAAGATCAGATCTGATTATTATCGTTAATGATCAGATCCGAATACCCCCCCCCACACAAATTCTCAGATCATTGTTGTAAATTAAACTAATAATAAAAAAATTAAAAAAAAACCAATTTTTACCTTGATTTATGAACCAACAGCGTCGGCAAAGATCAGATCTGATTATTATCGTTAATGATCAGATCCGAATATAGGGACAAAGTGGCCACAAATTCTCAGATCATTGTTGTAAATTAAACTAATAATAAAAAAATTAAAAAAAAACCAATTTTTACCTTGATTTATGAACCAACAGCGTCGGCAAAGATCAGATCTGATTATTATCGTTAATGATCAGATCCGAATATAGGGACAAAGTGGGTCGCGGGAGTTTTTGGCAGGAGGAGAGTGCGGAGGTAAGTATAGCTCGTCGAAGAAATCAACGAGGAAACCAAACAGCCAACGTGGTTGCAGTTTCCGTCGATTTCACGAGGTTGAGGAAGGAATTGTGGGAGAGGAGGAAATCTAAAGTGGCAGCGATTTTTCTTCAGTTTCGCTTGTGAAACCCTAGCGAACCAAAGTTGGAAAAATAAACCGATGGAAACGTTTTATCCAACATGGCCACGAAAGTTCTTACGTGGAGGCGGTGAAAAAGGTTTCCATAGAGAAAAAAACGAACCAAACAGCCCCTAAAACTAAATTATTTTAGTCATTGAACGTAAAAATTAAGACTAATTTTGTACGGGTACTTTCTGAACTGTATTCTATTCTATTTAGACTTGTGAATGGAAATTGTTTTACCGAAATTATAATAGTACTTTCTGTAAACTTAGAGTTTTGGAAGTGGATGGTTTACTTACTGAGTTGTCGTACTCATTCCTTTCCTTACATATTTTTCAGAGTAAAACCAGATAAAAGCCATACTCATTTGAATGGTCGTGTTTTGAAGGGGAATTCGGACAACTGAGATAATAAGGTAAAAGCCTTTACCTGTAGTTATGATGATATGAATTTTAATTGTGTATGTACATATCAGTATAAAGTTGGATGTTTTAATATTTATTACTTGAGTACTGGTTGTGTGCACTATGTACGTAGAATTACAAATAATAGCTATTTGGGAGCTGTACAGGATCTGGAGTAATAGAATGAATATTGGTCTTCTTAACGGAAATTGTGAAAGGATCTAAATATGGAATTATTGCTCTGGGAATTTGATGATTGATCGCGCTGTTTCGTCATGACCTCAGGTTCCAATTTTATTTGGATCCTAGGGGCGTGACAATATAATAATTCTAGAATTCATAAGTATAATATATCAAACCACTCAAGATAAGTATACATTATTAAATTCTTCTTCTACCAATTAGTTCTCTAGGGCCCTGTTTGGCAAAGGGTTAAGGAAGAAGGGTTAAAAAAAAAATTAATGTACTTAGCCCATTCGATAATCTGAAGGACTAAATTATTAGCCCGTTAAATAAGTTTTATTTTAGCTATTGTGATTAGTTTTAGTGTTTGGGAATAACAATGATTTTGACTTTTTTTTTTTTATAATTAGAAGGGTTAAACTCTTATTCCTTCTAAATAGGAGTATTAGTAAACCTCTCATTTTGAGGGGTTAACTCATTTTAATCTCTCTAGAGGGGTTAGCTTAACCCTTCTATATTTTTTATGTTTGGCAAATTATGAAGGGTTAACTCACTTTAACCCTTGTTACCTTGTATAAATTTTTGTATTTGGCGGGTTAAAAAGAGGTTAAATCTCATTAACCCCTCACTTAACCCTTTGTCAAACATTACCTAGTTGATTATCCTAAACATGATCATTTTAAGTATAAGAGAGCAATCCACAAATCATTAAAAAAACTCAAACTAGTTTCCTATTATTCTAGAATCCCTAAACGATTTAGTTACTCATTTTATGTAAAACCCCAAAAAATTAGAATAATTTGTAATAGATAATAATAAATGTGTTACATTATGATAAATAACATTTATTAATGTTTTAGTATGCTAGGAATTTATTTGAGATCAATTCAATGTATATATGTGAATATAGAAGTGATATCATGCACATGTGCACGGGCATGAATCTGGAAAAAAACGACTAGTTAAAAGTATATGTATTTTTCATACCAAAGAAGTTGGAATATGGAAAAACTTAAAAGACCAAAGTTGTAGGTATCTTCAAGAGATTTCCAACAAATCTTATATCACCTCATTCTGAGATTGGACGTGAATGTTATGGTCAAAATACTGAAGGTTATTTTCCTAGTCAGACTAGGTTTCCTAGTTCGGGTCAAATAGGTTTGTTTCGAGTTTGCCTATATAAATACCTTTTTTTCATGAAAATTTCTCTCTTTTATCATATTTATGAACCCTAGCAGCCACCCTCTCTCCTAAAAAACCCTAAATATTTTTTTAATGAATTTTGTGAGCTTTGTGGAGCACAATACCGACACGAGGGCGAGATCTTCGACGTGTGACAAGGGAGAACGGGTTGTTTATGCTCGTGGATTGCTTGCTGTTTATCTCAAAGGCTTAGAATAAAATTTGAGGCAAGATTATCTTCATCCAAACTTATCCCCATAGTTAAATAACTAGTGTAGATGATTAATATGATGGTGAATATGAGTTTTCATGCTTTAATCTTAACCTGAGGTGTTAAAAGTCAGATTTTTGATAGTAAATTTTAAATCAATGCTAGATTAGTAATCTTTTCTCACTATTTATGATAGTATCATGATCATGATCATTAGGGTTATTCATAATTTCATTTATATATCAGAAATTTAAGTGATGTACTAAATATATATTTTCTGCAGAAAATTGCAGGACTTGTGTAATTTTTAACTGAGATTTTAAGATAGAAAACAAACACCAAATTTAACCAAAATGATTCCAAATGAAAGCTATATGTATATAGTTTCTAAAACATAAAACCATTCTTAAAAAGAGTATGTATAGAGTAAGATATATTATGTTTACTAATAATATGTCCTACAGAAAAACTCCTGCACATGTATAATATTTAACTGAAGATTTGGGATAACAGATGAACTCCAAACTGAACCAACCTTATGCCATTTGAAAGATGTGTGAATCTAGTTTTCAAAACAGAAAACCATTTGTAAAAATAGTATTTCTAGAGAAAGATATACTCGTTTTACTAACAGAAGTCCCGTCTATTTTTTTGCTCGTTTTGTGGAGCTGTGTTGCGCCGTTTTGAGATGCGTTCGCGAAGTTTTGAGCCGCTTGATGTTGCACGTATTATCATGAATATATTGTGTTACACATTTGAGAATCCTAAGGGGATTATGATAAATTTTTATTTGATCATATTTTAACTAGATATCGTTCATATACATGTTAGATGTCGTTGATAAGCACAGCTCAGTACTATATGGGATAGTACGTTGACATACCAAATATACACGGTTTATACATGAGGTGAATATCGTTGATGAGCACAGCTCAGCACTATATGGGATAGTGCGTCGACATACCAGAGATACAAAGATTTATATGAGATGGATATCGTTGATGATCTCAGTTCAGTACTACATGAGGTAATGCGTCGATATTCCACATGTACAGGCCATTGAGTTGGATTTTAGGAGGCTTGATCTAGCCGTCTGTCCCGCACTAGGGTGCGATAAGGCTCATGAGCCGTATTTCTAGGATGCCTATTTTGTAGTCCGTCCCGCACTCATGTTACGTACTGAGATCGCGATGAGACTAATGAGTCGTGTACACAGTTCAGGATACCTACAGGATAGTCCGTTGTACTGAGATAATTACTTGATAGCCTAAGTGTGGCAGATATAGATTATGAATATGACCTACCACTGAGCTATATGACCGAGATACGTTGCTTTTGAAAGTATACAAAATTATGTGTTGGTATTTTATTCTATCTCCCCAGGATAGTAGAAGATATTATAAATACGATGTGTTGATATTTTATTTCTTTTACTGCCTTCTTTATTTCTTAGTTGGAATCAATGATTAGAGATTCACAACTTGAGACATATGGTATATATATGAGGGTTTCCTTATTTGGATTATTTCGCTCGCGTACCAGGCTCGTGTTATGGATTTCTAATTGTTGGTTTCATTAGATTGTCTTTTCTTAGTTTGGTATTAATATTTAGATAACTACAATTTGAGACATATGGTATATATATGAGGGTTTCCTTGTTTGGATTATTTTGCTCGATGTACTATGTCTCGTGCTGTAGATTTATAAATATTAATCCCAGTTAGATACGGGGAAAATGAATCTAGGTAGACTATGCTTAATAGATAGAGCATTCACTCCATCTAGCAGCCCTTCCCCTGGGGACGGATAGAGGTAATCTTGCTGTAGTGCTCTGACGCTCTTGTTGTTGTTCTTTTTTTTTAAATTACTTTTCAGATAGTTCGGAGTTTTGGAGAGCCGCAGGGTGACGGAGTTCTAGCATAGTCGTCGTCGCGTATTTTTACCTGTAGAGACTCCACTGTACTTTTGAGTTTCATTCAGACATTAGAGTTTCATATTCATATTGTAAAAGCAGTGTGCCTTAGTACGATTTTTAGTTGATTCATGTTGAGACATTTTCATTATTCAAATATCAGATATATTATAGTTGAGACATGGTTCTTTTTTTATGAGATATCTCTTCCATATCATGTCTATTACATTTATTCCCTTTATTTTACATGTTTTGTACCTACACTTATATTTGGTTCCACTAGAGGATATTGCTATGATTGGTGAAACGTGTTTATGCATAGTGTGGGTGCATGACAGGTTTGACATCTCTGGTTTCACCTTGGACTGCAGCCTTGTGTGAACCCAGGGGCGTCACAGTTGGTATCAGAACTCTAGTTTCAGTATCCTAGGATCATTCATGTGTCGAGTCGTGGAGCTA